CTAAATAATGGTGTAAATACCTGCATTCATGTGATCAATTTGTTGCTAAATTGCAACCGGTTTCGACTCACAAAGGAGTCATCGTCGGGCCAGTACAGATGTCTTCTCGCTTCATTTGAAGGTCGTCAATTCATGATAAATAAATACATTTAACACGCACACGTACACGAACATAAAAACAAACATTTAGGGCTAAAAACGAAAGATGATACAATACGGTAACGGGACACGACGTGACCCCTGCCCGATCACGTCGTGTCCCGTTACCGTATTGTATCATCTTTCGTTTTTAGCCCTAAATGTTTGTTTTTATGTTCGTGTACGTGTGCGTGTTAAATGTATTTATTTATCATGAATTGACGACCTTCAAATGAAGCGAGAAGACATCTGTACTGGCCCGACGATGACTCCTTTGTGGTTCGAAACCGGTTGCAATTTAGCAACAAATTGATCACATGAATGCAGGTATTTACACCATTATTTAGTAAACCTACCACATAGTTTTTTTTTTTTTTAATTTTTTTGATCAGCTGTCTGAAATTGTGAAATAGGCATTTGACAGTTCTGGTTGTTTACATTTACATGTCAAAGCAAATGTAAACATTGTGAATTTTCTCATGCTTCCATGGAGACCAATTATTAATATTTAATTTCTGACAACAGCTGGAGTTTCAAAACAATGTTTGTTTCCCATGTTAATCTTATGGAGAAATACGAAACTTTAAAGGGACCCAGGGCCTCACTCTCTAATTATTTCCCTAAAAAGAAAGTTTCCTGCACAACTTCACGTTACGCTCTTTCCAATGACACAAAAAACATGTTAATCGGTTCAGTAGTTTCGGAGGAGTAATTGTCACAAAAATGATGCTTGCGTATTAAATAAGTACGAGTAATGTCCAGTGGTCGAAACTCGACCAAAAATATGTAATGTACTCACTTATGTTAATGTTTCACCCCACACTGTAAATAAAACATGTGATTGGAGTTTCTTCCATTTGTTTTGATTTTCTGTTTATATTTCGTTGTTATTTCGTCACCAGCATGGCAACGCGTAAGATCCATGTTAATTTTTTCAAATTTTTAAACTCATTTTTTGCGCTTATCTTTGAGCCTATTTAAATTTATAAAGGGATTCTGCACACCTACAGGAAAATAGCTTTCTAATGGTATGCGTAGATTTTCCCTACGATGCACACGAGCTGAGAAAAAAGGTTTTAAAGAAACATGCTTGCCTATTAATATATAGATATATATAGATTAGTTTAACAAGTACTTAGGTTTGCTGAATCAGGGAGGGTAAAACTGTTTTTTTTTGTTTTTTTTTTTTTTTGTAAAATGTGAATAGTTAGTAAGAAATGAAAACATTTTCCAAATTTGATCAAAATATGTTCACAAACAAGCAAACTACAACAGTTTACTTATTCTCCATAAGAATAACATGAGAATTTTAAATTTAAAATTTTTTTAAATTTTCTCCGTAACCATTAGGCGCATAATAACGCTTCAATATATTAAATTATTTGTTTTTTTAAGCTCTACAATATGGTTTGGAAAGAAATTGCTAAATTTTATGTTTTTTGGGTCAAAAATGGGAAAACCTATTTTTACCCCATAAAACCCCCCGTAAACCCCCGTTCCCATGGTCCGATCATGCTGGATCGCGAACTCGTTCGAATAAACGTACGTTTACACGTTTGTACCAAGTTTCATCAAAATCGGATCATTTTTGCTCGAGTTATCGTGCTGACGGACACATATATATATATATATATATATATATGAATTTGAACGGATGGTGTTTTTGGCCTCTAGGGACCTCAAAACGAAAAAAAAATTGGTCCCGCGTCCAGGTCTTACCATGAGTACTACGGTAATAGCTTATTCCCTATATGGGAAATTCGCTAAAATTCAGAAATATTGGCGAAGTTGTTATTTCAAATTAGTAACAATAATTTTGTTTATTGAAGTGTTTTTGTACGAATATTGGTTACCTACCAAGAAAATTCAAAGATTGTAAATTTATCATTCTCATTTTATTCTTATGGAGAATAAGTAAACTGTTGTAGTTTGCTCGTTTAAGGATATATTTTGATAAAACTTGGCAAATTTATTTATTTTGACCTAGGCTATTAATATTAAAAAAAAAAAAAAAAACACTTTATTATCCTCTCTGTAGCAGCAAACCTAGGTACTTATTAAACTCAATTAAAATATATTTAATTTAAAATCAAATCAGGCAAATGGAAACTCACTTAATCTGCAGGTTTGCTGCAGTGGGGGTATTTTGCCTATTCCAGGAAATGCAGGGACGGTATCACGACCTGTGATTGCAAGGAAAATGAAAGATTAATGCAGATTTCTGGAGAGAGTCGATAAAACAAAACACTAAACAATTTTTAATTATTTTAGTGATTAACGGCCGCCATTTTGAAATGACCTAATTAAACTCGACCATTGACAAACTGGGATTATATATCGTATTCAAGAACTTGTAAGCCAAATTTAATTAAAATCGGTTTAGGCGTTTTGGTATTACAGTACATAACCAATTCATAGCGACCCAGCATCCTCTTACGAGCGCCCGTCATTACGGGCGACCAAGGTCCTTAAAAATTCGGGTCCGAGCGGTTTTACATTCTTGGTCTCATATATTATCTTATATATTATCTTCACCCTAAGTCGCAGGATCACCGCCAGAACTGAAATATTTTTCTGCTACCCATACTCACTTAGCTGTCAGTGTCAAGTCAAGACGATGATGAGAAGAACGAGTTAGAGACCCTGACGATTCCATGTAAGATGATGATGCATCAGTAGCTGATGAACAATATGACATGGTGGTTAAAGAGGCGAAACTACCAGTTTCTTGGTTAATTTTCCTCACAACTTTAACATGTGACACAGACTCATGGTCAGTTTTGTAATAATTGATATTACATAACTGGATTATTTTACTTTAATTAATTTGTCAAATTTAGTTTTTCATTAAAAAATTAGTCTTTTTCTAATAAACTGTTGGTTGTATTGCTTTTATTATGTTCTTTTTCGATTCTGCATCCTAAGAAACATAGAAAACAACACCTCACTTGCTTGGATCCCATAAATAAAAATTTTCTCAAAATCACTACCCCCATAAACTTTAACCCCCATAAAATGGTACTTCCACCCCCACAATCACTAGGGACTCTTCAGATTCCAAAACCTAATGGTAATTAATTACTACGTTTCCTGCAAGTTTCATGAATGGACCAATTTTTATGTTTTCTTAGGTGAGTTTTACCTGTACATTGATTTATCTCAAATAAACAATTGTACAGATAGTAATGATGTAATATTAGATTCTGCCAAGTGGGAAATGAAACCAATGTTTAGATTAAGAGAGGTGGGAGTACTAGAAATAGAAGAAATTATCAGTTCCCTACATGGTCAAATCTACATTAGATTGGTTTTGTTCATACCTTGAAAATAGATTCCAGTTTGTCCAATTAACTAGTTGTTCTGATAATATAATTTCAAATCATAAATCACAATTTAAAAAAGTACGATTTGGAGTTCCTCAAGGATCAATTTTAGGGCCCCTTCTTTTCATATGCTATTAAAAAATATATCAACTTCACTATCAAACCCTGAGAAAGGCAGTATATGTTTATACGCCGATGATACTAACCTAAAAATCTCAGATAAAACAATAGAACAAATTGAAATTTTGTCTTTCCTAGAATTAGGAAATATTGTTCAATTTTTCAAAAATCATAATTTACAGCTAAATGTTGAAAAAACAAATTATATATCATTTAAAACAGCTCAGTCAAAAACCACAGCAGAACCTGTTGTTATGATTGATTCCGAACCTGTTGAACAAATTCTTAGCACAAAATTTCTCGGTCTACTAATAGATGGCAACCTAAATTGGAATGAACATGTGGACAAAATCATATCAAAAATTAATTCAGGTTTATGTGCCTTGAGAAAAATGGCAGATTTATGTAGTCAATCAACACTCAAACTAATATACCTTTCCTATATACATTCCCATATATCATTTGGCATCTGTCTTTATGGCTCCACCAAACAAGAAAATCTTGATAAAATTCAAAAATAAGCAATTCGGATCATTAAAAATCTTAATAAAGAAGTATCCTGTAGAGAGCATTTCAAAAATCTTCAAATTATTACAGTTTATGGACAATATATTTATGATACAATTATGGTTTACAAAACTTTGAATTCAAGCAAGCCATTAATAAACCATTTAACTCACCCATACAATACCAGAAATAAATCAGAAATCATACCCACTCATCACAGATTGCAACTCTATAGGTACAAAAAAACCATCAAATGCAGAAGCAAAGTTTTTTAGAACGTTACCTAAAGAAATAAAAAAAGAAAAAAATGTTAATAAATTTAAAATTAAGTTAAAAAATTATATTACACCAAATCCTATTTATTCAATTGAAGAGTATAACCAGTTGTAAATATGTATTATACGCTATAAGCCCTGTTAGCTATAAGGAAATGACACTATTCCGTTGTTACTCATGTACACATTATGAATAAAAATTGATTTGATTTGATTTGATAAGTGAAGAGTCTCATATTTATGTTATTATGTTATTAGGTTCAGTCAATATCTTTCAGCTATGATTGCATAATAAACATATTATTACCTGAATTTTGTTGCTACCTTGACCAGCCTACTAAAAAAGTTTAGCAATTGGATTTTGAGAATTGAGATTCGATTTAGTAAGTTTCTGTTTTGGATTTGAGATTTGGAATCTCTGGTTTTGAGTTTGACCATAAGTTAACTACATTCCTGTCCTGAAAAATGCCAACCTTTATTTTAATTCCGTCCAAAAAAAAAACAAGAACAAAACTTTTTGGGTTTTGAATATTTCTATTTAGGAATCATTTTAAGTTGTATAATAATTCTACAGTGTCATTTTGCAGTCAGATATAATTTAAGTGCATTTGTATTGATTGCTTGATTTTATTTTCAGAAATTATTCAGTAACAGAGATTATGTGTTTAAACGGCGCTACAGAATCGACAAAAGGCGTAATCTAATATTTCTAGTAAACCGCATTACAGAACATCCGTCTTGTCCAGTGGTTCCTTCTAAACAGAGAGTAACAGAATACTGGTCATACATGGTCATCAAACCTACCACAACATTTGATAAGGTAACACAACTCATTTGTTTTTTACTTGAAAATAAAAGTGAGTACTAGATTTTTTGTTTGTGACAATATTAAGTGCCACAATTGTTTTCAGAGCAGTAAAAGCTGGTTGAGCAATCATATTTTGTGTTTTTTTTTCATGAAGTAAGAAAATAAAAACAACATATAGGATAGATGAATTAAAAATATTTTATTTATTAAAATTATTATTTCATCTCAGAAATATTAGCATCTATAACAAGTGTTATAAGTTTAGATGTGGGCATTAGGTACATATTCTTTGTAGAAATTATTATTTTGTCTCAGAACTATTAGCATCTATAACAAGTGTTATAAGTTTAGATGTGGGCATTACATACATATCCTTTGTAGAAATCATTATTTCATCTCAGAACTATTAGCATCTATAACAAGTGTTATAAGTTTAGATGTGGGCATTACATACATATCCATTGTAGAAATCATTATTTCATCTCAGAACTATTAGCATCTATAACAAGTGTTATAAGTTTAGATGTGGGCATTAAATACATATCCTTTGTAGAAATTATTATTTCATCTCAAAACAATTAGCATCTACAACAAGTGTTATAAGTTTAGATGTGGGCATTACATACATATCCTTGCTAATATCAGCTGGTGATCTCACAGCACTAGTTCGATTCAGCCAGTTAACATTTTCTCAATCTCAGACAGATTTGTCAATTAAGGCCTAAACCTAAACCTGAATCTATATGAATAGGCCTACATGAATTTATTTCCCCTTATTACAAAACACTGTACACATTCATAATAATTGTTGAGCAAATTAAACTGGTCACATTTTCAAGTAGAGTGACCAGTTACGGAATAAATCATATATAAATAAACAAATACGAGTCTAGCATCAAATGACAAATATTTTATCCGTCCGCTATAACATTTGGAGCAAATTTAGTATGGGAACACACAATCAAGAGCTAAGGCACACTGTTATACTAAAGAGATGATGGGATAACTCAGATTGAATAATACTGTAATAGCCCGGAAATATTTGTTTTATATTTAATAAGAAAAATTAAATAATACATCATTTAAAAATTTCATAAAACTCGAATCATACAAAAAGTAAACAAGTTAATTAACTACTTTTAATCAGAGGTGTTGGTATAAAGTCCAGTTGAGAAATATTACTTCTCTAATACCACCCCTTAACGTTTATCAACTTATCCAAAGTCCGATTGACTGGACCAAGTCTTGATGTCGGGGGTTTTTGTCTCCTTTTCCTGGTACAACAGTTTTCAGTACGTTGCATACATACATTTTCTCTTAGTTGTCTGTTCAAAAAAGCACTTGAGAAATCCAAATGTTGAATATTTGAATTCAATTCTGGTGCTAGAGCCATAAACATTCTGAAGCCCGCTACACATGGTCAGTTCGGTGTGTCAGTTTGGTGTGTTCATTTCTAACTGTCACTTCTAACTGAACGCAGCATTTGCATCCACACGGTCAGTTCGGTGTGTCAGTTCAACGTGCTACCTGGGGGTGTAGTCTAATCCTCCCAGGTACGCTTCCCTTCCTGGGAAGTCGTACTCGTTCGTATGTATTTTCATAAAAATGTTTATTTTCCTACACACGACAGATTTGTTGGTGATGAGATGGATCTCTTTCACCTTTCCTACAATACCTAAAAGAATGATATGATTACTAAAGTTATTATTTGTTGTGAATTGTATATGACTTAAATGACAATAAACAAACTGTAAACAAAAAATTACATCTACAGTACACCGGACAGAACTAACAAATAAATTTTCTTCAGCTTATTCTTAAGTATGAGAATTCTACTAAGGAAGTGTGTTTTATCTATGGTATAGGTTATATAATGACGCTGCGTATGCTCAAATACCAAAATTTGACTAACTGAACTGACGCGGCGGTACACACGCTCACTTCGGACTGACATCAGTTCGGTGTGTCACACCGAAATGATGAATTTTCATCAGTCCATCAGTTCAGTTTTTTGATGTGAGCTCACATCAATTTGGCGTACACACGATCAGTTCGGTGTGTCAGTTCGATGTGAACACACCAAACTGACACACCAAACTGACCGTGTGTAGCGGGCTTGAGAGTGTAGTTTCTCACAACTGGAGTAAAAGTCTTTTTGTAGTCAATATAGGCTACTTTTGTACATCCGTTCAAATAAATTCTATACAAGGGCAAGGGTGTTTTTTAAGTAAGGGCCATTTTTGTGTATGTAAAATCAGCCTTATGTACTTGGATAGAGTTCGCAAAAACTAATGGATTTTTTTAATGAATCCATTTGAATTAATCATCGAAAACAATCTAAAACAAACTTTTAAAAAATTGAGTTAATTCAAATCGAAACCTCGCAATTGGGCATCACTGGTTTAGTGGTTAGAGCGCGGGACTTCGGTTTTAGAGGTCCCGGATTCAAATCCCGCCAAATCACCAATGGACTTTATCCATGTAATAATGCCGCAACCCCTAGGTGTAGTCTGAAGTAATGTGAAAATAATTCCTGGCCTGTGCCTAGCAGCCTAGGGGGGGGGGGGAATAAAAAATTAAAAATTTGGCATCAGTAGTTTATTAGTCTGCTTATGCTCTGATCAGTGTTACCACAACAACCAATAGAACTGCTCTATCTAATGTTGGAACAAATAAATGGTGTGGCAGAACTGGATGTTTAATAAGAAATAAACAAGACAACAATTCCGTGGTTTACATTGCAGCCAACTGTTTGTTTAGCTTCTTTGTTTGAGCCGTAGAACGTTCTCACTCAACTCAAACGTTCTCGTTCTTAGCCTCTTGAATCCTTTTAGTCGAATCTCGAATCAAAATCTTTCCTTGAGATTTGGATTCGACTTATCCCTACTTTTAATGGTACCCTTGCTTCAAATCAAATCAAATATTTATTCATCATTAAATAACATGTTTACAATGTTTACAAATAAATTTGACAGCTGTTACCAGGCAACAGTTTTGTGGGTTTGAATAATCACAACATGCTGTATTAGTTATGATTTTAAATAGTGCCACAATGTTTCCACAGAAAGCAGCACAGAAAACTATTTTACTTTTGGATTATTACAAATATATTAAACTCCAATTGCAACACACCTGTGCACTCAACAACATTTTCTCCAATGTTAAATATGTAAACATAAAAACCTTTATAAAAGTATTATAAACAATGAAAGGGATGGAAAATAATAGTTGTTAAGCGCAGCAACGCGCGCCGGGTAACTGCTGGTGCTATATATAAAAAACATTATCAGAAATATACACACTATACAAAAATACAGAACTATACACATTTTATAAGTCATGCAAAAGAAAAACCTAGGTAGGCCTAGTTAGCTGGTGGAAAAACGTCTTAATGTGCCAAAGAGGATATTCAATCGGGATATACCGTAACTTAAGATTGAATAAAACACCAATTAATAACAATTTCAATGACAAATGTTTACTAGTAAAAATAAGTAGGTGACTTCGATAGAGTCCGGTCATTCACAGGTTAGGACAAAGAAAATGAATTATAATTTTAATATGATATCGATAATTATATTTATTAAAAATGTCTGAGCATTTTGATAGTAAATAATTGTAAATTAGAGTCCAAACCCAATAAATGACCTGACGGTCATCGGTTTAGCCCAAAAATCTGTTTCAGTATATGACCGCTTGAATAAAAACTTATTTGCTTGCTTACGTACAGAAACAGATAGTTTTTGATTAATATACACTCTTAATATTAAATATTAGCCAAAGAAATCACCATTTCAACAGCTTTTTTTCACAAAAATAAGATAATAAAATATGCCTTACCTGCAGATTTCTTATAGGTAGAAGCTAAAAAACGAAAATTCAAAACATGTCCAAGATAAATCATTAAAATAGACACAAATTATTAACAATAATTAACAACGGACGATTTATTATAGAGAATAGAGTATGTACAATAGAATATTTCTTCATATAAAAAACTACATCACTCCTTTTCAGCATGTTTTTTCCCCGGGTCGTTCCATAAATACCAACCTTCTTAATTTTTCTAATTTCTGCATATCTTCTTTAGATAGGGGAGGTCAGATCGACGTTATTTACACAGATTTTGAAAAAGCGTTTGATACAGTCAGTCATTTGATCATTTTGTCTAAACTGAATTATTACTGGTTTTCTAATGATGCATTAAAACTTTTCTCCACTTATTTATTTAATAGAAAGCAATATGTCATGTTCCAAGGGTATTATTCTAATGAATTCATTGTTTCATCTGGTGTCCCGCAAGGTTCTAATTTAGGTCCTCTACTTTTCACAATTTTTATCAATGACATTGATTGTTGAATGTACAGTACTCATCATAGTAAAGTTTTTCTATATGCTGATGATTTAAAAGTATTCAAAGAAGTAAACACCGTTAATGACTGTATACTTCTTCAGGAAGACCTAGATCGTATAGAAGGCTGGAGTAATAAGGGCTTAAAATTTAATCCAGATAAATGTTCTGTCGTGAGGTACACAAGACGTACGCAGAATATCATTAATTTTCACTACTCAATGAATGGTGCTGTCCTTCAATCTCTTTATAAAGCCAAAGATCTTGGAATTACAATTGATGACAAGTTTTTGTATGCAGACCATACTGCTGAATCCTGTAACTTGGGTTTTATATTCCGATCTGGGAATTTCCTGAAAGGCATGGACTCAAGCTACTATATTTCTCCCTGGTTAGGTCTAGACTTGGATTCGGTTCAATAGTGTGGTATCCACATCATGCTTATCTCATTGAGATGATAGAACAAATTCAAATAAAATTCCTACGGTACCTACATTTGCCCGGACTTGCCTGGGTGCCCAGTCTCCTGCCAATGTTTGAGGCTTTATAATACATTACCCCAGGGTATTGATTTATTCAACTCGACCCTAGCCTCTTACAGAAATCAGTTGAATGATAATTTATTTTAAGAATAATTTCATAGTACCATGGCTGTTATCTCAATTCAATTTGTTGTGTTTCAATTTAATTTAAGTAGTTCATTTTCTGTTGTTGTACTGTTGTTTATGTAAAGTGTTATTTATTTAATATTGTGTTGTTACAATATTCTTCTTCTACAATATTCTTCTGGTCATGATGAAGAAAAATACATTTTGACACGTGTTCACACAAAGTATATGTACTGTTTTATGAGAATTTATACTATGCTGCAATGTAATTGGACTTAAGTCTGTATTGTAGCATTTAAATAAATAAAAATAAAAAAATAAAATTACTGATACCGCACAATGCAGTAGCGATTGCGGGAGACGATCGTGGTATCGCCGAGACCACAACATTTACTTATGGGGGTTGCCGCGACTTTGACAATCATCGATTTATACCAATTATATAAAAATAATTATTTCCCAGTAGGACTTTGCAGGCAGTAGGTTCAAGATCCCTGGTCTGCGCGGTCATGTAGACGTTATCATCGTCCCTTAGTCCCGGCAAAATTCTGACCATTTCCCGTGGTCATGTACACATTTTCATCTTCTCCCGTGTTCACATAAACGTCATTGTCGTCATGCACCATTGTGGTTACCGATGGTACGATCTTCGCAGACGTTTCGGGTACTGGTATTGGAATTGTCTTGTGACAATCGATTCTCGATACCGATACCAATTTCCAACTACTGGTGGTATCGGGAAACGACACATACCCATTTCTAATAATTGTTTTGGTACAATAAAACACACATTTTGTGCATTTTAAGTGTTTATTGATGACATTCCAGTAATCCAGCAGTATGAATGAGAGTCTTCTGTACTGTAAATACATACGATATGAAAAACCACAATAAGATTTACTTCTAAAAATTGTCCTTTACCAACCAAAGGTAAATGTAATGCAAGTTATGTTTTCTTTTATAGCCTGGAATAGAGTTCAGTTTGACATATTTTGACAATCCTGGAATTAAAATGCCATCTACACTTTCTCTATGGATCACAATAACTGGTAAGTTTTTGGTAGACAAACAAATGGTAGACTTTTATTTTTGTATAGATACAAAAATACCTTTTAAAAAAATACATCAGAGAAAATGTCCAAATTAAATTATTTTTAAAATACTATTTTCAATCATGATTTATTTATTTTACATAGTTATTTAAAACTGAGCTAAAACAAACTGAAATGCCATTGTGTTTGCAGTGTGCACGATACACGCCAGTAGTAATCAAAATGGGTGTTCTGGGACAGAGGTGTTTTTGTTGAAACCTTGAAAAATCTGTGTGTTTTCCTTCACTTTCTGTTGAATTTGGTGAAAAAGTGATGAGTGATGGTTTTTGAGTGAATTTTGATGAAAATGGTGGTAAAATCAGTAAAAAGCTGAAAATCTGTGAGAGAGGAGGGGTCAATGACCTCCCCCTTGTCTGGTCACGTGAAAGCTGTTTTTCCTAAAAAGGGGTGTGTCGTCCAGTGTTGTGTGGTCAGACAAGAAGGCGAACATTGGGTAGACATAGAAGTAGACTTGTATTGGGTGTTTTGATCAGACAAGAAGGTTCGTACGGGGTGTTTTGGGTAGACAGCGGTGTGTTTTGGAGTGCTATGACAGCTAATTAGGCTCGCACTAGGTGTGAAGCTGGAGACACGCGTGTTCATGGTTTGCAGTGAATTTTGCGAAAAATGTTGGTAAAATTAAATTATGAGAAAGTAGGTGTCTAGACCATAGATCTCTATATAATACAACTAGATCGCTGGCTGAGCGTTAGGATTTCGAGCCGGCGTAGCGACGGCTACCCCCCCCACTAGACCCTGATCCGCGGCCGTGATGCATTCATAGTAATAGAAAATCAACTAAGTGGCAAAGCCTTATTACTTCTCTGATCAAATCTTTTAACATTAAATTAATGAATTACGATTACTTTTGTTTGCTGTTCATCGTAACCATTCATGTATTCTTTTCTAAAGGAATGAATACGTGTTATTTTATTCTGATTCTCTTGGTCTTATAATAAAACGACGATAGAAGGGAAAACTAATGTTTGCTTTGCTAAACATTTTATTGAGCTTTTTGTTTTAAAATATGATTTTAATGATACAAATATTGACATGATTCTAACTAATGAAGATTTTTAGTTGTCGAATGTTTTACGTAAAATGTGAACGTATACCGGTATTTTTTTAAGGTTCACTCAGGAATGAAAGCAGTATAGTACAACATTTTAGTGAAATTGGTTTAATATATTAATACTAAACAGTTACAAAATTATAACAATAACAAAAGCATATTTACCACGTACATGCATACGTAAAAGTACAGTATACTGTTATCATGTTCCTACATGTGTTGTTGAATAGAATCAGTTTGTTTAATCTTTGCCTCAGCCCAGTTGAACTTGGGTTAATTTTGCAAGTGCTAATTTCAAAAAAGCTTCAAAAAACGCACTACTTTCAAAATTTGGTAAATTTCTTTCAAATTTGTAAAGGTTTTCACTACTTTTCCCAACCTAAGTAAATTAGTTTTGCAAATATTATTAATGCTTTGTATTTACTCTGGTTTACTTTAAAGTTTATTAATTTAATGTTTTTTCGTAACTTTACTCCTTGGCCCCTAAAACTTAGGTTTAATGTAAAAATTTGAAAGTTTTTACGAGCCCCATGTTATTCTTATGGAGAATAACATTGAAATTGAATGACTTTGGTATGGTCATCTGAATCGTTTAAAAACGTGCTAGAGACTTGAAATTTGGTAGTATTGTAGTATGAAATCCTAAGTTAATGGTGAAATTTGCAAAAGTCCCATTTTTCAAATTTTAACCCTCCCAAAAGTCCTAAATGGCGGACATCTAAAAACGACAAAACACGTTTTTTTAAACTACTATAACCCAAAAACAATAAGAGCTATCCAAGATTTAAATTAATTTTCCATGACGTCACAAGTAAACAGAGGATCTGTGACCACGTGGAGTGAGGTAGGTCGGCGACTCAGCAAGCTACCTTCACGTGGTGCAATTCAGGTAGCTCATTCAGATTCATCACCTTTTTACTCTTTCACTCACCGAAAAGCCGTTTCTGGACCAGCCCCTAGCAGACTAGAGATTTGCCCATTTTCAAGTTCAGCTGGCTCGTGGTGACAAGTAGTATACAGGGTGTTTTTTTTAAAACTTGCATCTTTATTTATGTAAAAACCGCAGGGCTGTGCGAATCCAGAAATTTTGGTTCGAATCCGAATCATAGCTGTACAGATTTTATCGAATCCGGATCGAATCCAAATATTTTAATTAATCCCGAGTCGAATCTGGGTCGAATCCGAATCTCAAATTTACAGCCATTATCGAACCTGGATCGAATCCGAATCTGAAATTTAAAGCTTTTATCGAATCCGAATATTTAAACCTGTCCAGAGTCGAATCCAAATCCGAGGAAAGTCAGCAGTACCAATTTTCACATTTTTAGACCACATTTTTTGGGGTTGAAATAACTTAGGGAATTGCTTACAAAAATTCTTGAAATGGGCCAAATAAAAAAGTTATAAAATTTAGGCCTACCTATTTGAAGTTTTGAAACTAAAAAATTGGGCATAAGTTAGGCATACCACCTAGGCCTAAGTTACTCGCTAAAAGTGATGGACTACCAATTTGTGTAGTCTAAAACATAGGTCCAGCCTATTATACACCTCGGTGTTAATCCTCCACACAAGCCTATGTCTGCATTACTATTACAAGTAACAACTCACACTGTGAGGTTAAGTTTACTGATAGCCAAGATAGGGTTCAAATGCGACCTACACTAATGTGCCTAAAGCCTAACACCAAGTTGGTCAGGTTCCTAACATGAACCAGTCAACAGCAAATCGGAGAGCACAAGTAGTTTTTTAGTGTCTAAAAAATTATATTGAAAATTATATTCAATCAGAATCTAGTAAATTTGAATATCGAATCCCAACTCGGATCTATTTCCAAGAAATTCGAATATCGAATCCGAACCCGGATCTCTTACCAGTAAATTCGAATATCGATTCCGAATCCGAATCCAGTTAGAAACAGTAGATTCGTTCTCGAATCCGAATCGAATCCCTAAAAAGATTCGGATTCGATTCGTTTTTCGAACTATTCGCACAGCCCTGAAAAACCGCAATAGATAGAAATATGCTGTTTGCGGGAATCATCTATTGACGTAGGGGGCCCAATTGTTTTGAATTCAACGTTACATTCACATTCCCCCTCTTTCCCCCTGCCCCCAACTTAATTTTTTTAAATAGCAAGGTACCCCTTGTGACATATCAAATGAAAGAGCATGAAAAAAGAAAATGTTTGATGAAAAAAAAAATGAAAATCGTTTCATAAATTTGCGAGATATTTCCCCCCCCCCCTTCCCCGGAACTTTATTTTTTTTTATAGCAAAGTACCCCTTGTGACGTATCAAATGAATGAGCATGAAAAAAGAAAATGTTTGGTGAAATTTATTTTTCATTTGGTATGTCACAAGGGCGGGTACCTTGCTATTAAAAAACAAGTTATGGGTAGGGGAAAAGGGGGGGGATTATCTCACAAATTCAAGAGCCGATTTTAAATTTTTTTCACCAAAAATTTTCTTTTTTCATGCTCTTTTATTTGATATGTCACAAGGGGTACCTTGCTATTTAAAAAAAATTGTGCCCCCTACGTCAATAGATTCCCGCCAACTGCATATTTCTATCTATTGCGGTTTTTACATAAATAAAGATGCAAGTAAAATAAAAAACACCCTGTATATGTGTCTGTCCTACTGGGGGATCCAATATGGGCTCTTATGGGAATAGCTCCCCACAAAATCCGGAGGTGTTCTCCAACCCCACACATGGAGTATGTATTTTTGTCTTGTGCTGGGGTTTAATATATACCTTATGGGGGCAAATTCAACCCTTGCTTTATTGAATGGTTCTGGACCGGACCCATGGGTTGTTTTGGTTGGGCTGAATTGTAGTCATCTTGTCTCTTGGCTTTTATCCTCCTGGCTGTCGTTAGTGAAGAGGCTAGTCCTCTTCATGCACTCGGTTGCTTCTCCCAGTATTATAAGAGAACGTGTATCAAAAAAGCACTGCTGCTTCTCATCCCTTTTTTGTGTATGCCCAGACTCTATATAGGACAACACTCGCCCGTGAAAATGGATGATGTGTATTTGGAAGCGTGCCAGTCCATGGACAGCAATACTGTGTTTTCCAACGCCTCTTCAAAAAACGCAGTTTTCACTGCGACCCCAGAAAGCGTGGTTTTCACTGCGACACCTGAAAGCGTGGTTTTTACTGCGACCCCAGAAAGCATGGTTATCACCGTGTCACCGCTGCTTCTCGATTCAGATGACGACTTGAGATCGTTTGAGCTCACCGACGAGGAAGCCGGTTCCAGCGTTTCTCCTATTGTCGGTTCTAGCCTACCCCTTGACACTAAGGTGCAGTGTCCAATCTGTGGTGTACGTGTATCGAAGCCCTACTTAGGAAGACACAAGAAAACCAAGAAATGCTCTAACGCTGCAAGGGCACAAGAGACAAGAGCTGATATGGTAGTTGTTCAAGCTACTCCTCAAGAGAATAAGAGTTCACGGTACAGTGTGAAGGTTGCTCATTCAGAAATTGCACCACCTGCAATTCAGATAACTAATAATTTTTCTGTCTAATATTGGTAGTTTGTTACCCACAACATCGCCGTGGCTCGTCGCATACAGCTTATATGTGCATAAAGGTTGGAATTATTCTCAAATACTGTACATTCCTTTTGAGTATTACGTGTCTTCTGAGTTGAGTCGTTCCGTGTTTAGTGACGTTACTTGTCTTAGGATCATGTGATCATGGAATGCTCTAAAACATTACCATAACCATAAAACCATAAAAGGAAATGCATTATGGTCACGTGATCATCTTAGAATGTTCAAGAACATTACCATATATGGTCATGTGTTTCGATGATTGTGCAACAGCCCGGTCTTCCGTCAGTCTTCTCTGAGAGGTGGTTGTGAGAGGTGCTATTACATTTTTCGAGTCTTTGCAATTAAAATTTTGTAGTGCGTGTGGGACGCAAAATTCTAGGGGGGGAAGAAACTAGTATTCACCTAAGTCAGGCTAGGCCTACCCCTAGGCCACACTCAAATTTCTTCCCCGGAGTGCTCAGAAGGAGCCGAGAAAAATCCAGGGGTCAATACGAAGTTGTCACGGCTTTGACTGATCAATTTATTAAAAATTAATCGAAGGCTCAGAGCTCTAGAAGCGCTCAAGAAATCCTGCCGACGCCCAGTTGGAGCTATATCATCCCAGCCTTCGCTAACGTGTTCTGGTAAATTTTGCCTAGCTTTAAGAATGACTCTGTAGGGCCGACGAGTATTCAATCTTAGCTAATGTGATATAAATACTCGTTTTAAACTATAAACTATTTGGCTAAATACGTTGGTAAATAATATAAAATCGAATATAATGTAAAAGAGCCACTCCTACAGAGTCGTCGGGGCCTAATTAATATAATTGAACGGAGAATTTAACGTGATAGGTTTAAAATAATTTTAATATTAATATTCGTGGCTGATGATTGTTCAAATCAGCCTGCTCCCAAGACTTGATTCTTTCACCCGCCAAAGACGGGGTTTAGAACTTAGACGACAAGTGTCGGGGTATTAAAACGGTGAAAACGAGATATAATTTAGACATGATAATTATTTGTTAAGCGAACGGAGAAATCGTAATTTCGAAAACTAATTAATTAAAATTAAATAAACGATAGCCACCGCTAGTCACTGGCAGGCAGGAACTGGCGGGTCAAAACTCAAGTTAAGTTATTAAATTTAGACAATTCGAATAGGGACTTTAATACAGCAAATATGAATAATAAATTAAGAATTGCGTGAAATGATAATAACGTAAAACGTGAAAAGGGCCTAACTAGTAGGGTAGCTAACCTTCGTAGTAAAATCGTAGTGTCGTGTCGTCGTATCCGTAATTTGTGAAGAGGCTTCTTGCAAGCTAGTCGGTGGTCAAACAACGAATAATCTTGTCCGGCTCAAATCATGATTTCCTCGGTCGAGGCTTAATCGCTCTGGTGGTGAGTTTAAGAACTAGCCAACAGCTGATCGGAAATTCACCTGTTGAGCCGGTCTAGTTGTCTTGTTACTTACTTACATATAAGCCTCGGGCCAAATCACATCGGTTCAAAATCGCGTTGCTTTGAAAACTGTTGATTTTTATATAATGTTGATTTTTGAGCCAAGCAAAGCTTGGCCTATAAGCTTGAGAGATCAAGCACACAAAGTCAGAAAATCAAGCTCAAGCCGATTTTCTCAGAACTCAATAAAATAATGCCCAATTAAAAGTAAAAGCTTTATGTAAGCGAGGATCATAATCACAAAATTGAAAGATTAGGCCTACGCTTTTGCCGCGATCGCGGATATCTACGACAACATTTCTCCGCGGGTGACAATGACGATGTCTCAGCAACCACAGGAGATGTTCAATACTTTGCCATGATTGCGGAAGACGATAATGACCGCGATTGCGGAAAAAATTATTTCCCCGTCACCATGGATCGTGGGAGATATTAGGGATAAGGGATTGAGCCGTGAACGCGGGAGACGATGATGATGTTATCTGATGATGTCATAGGTTTGGTTGCAATCACGGTAGACTATGATAGGCTAATCTTCATGCGTAGGCTTTTGCGGCCGGTGTTATTGAAATCCATGAGTCTCAGTTAATAGAAACTGTCAGAAACAGTCTGGGCCTAGCCACTTAGGATGCCACTTCATAGTAAGAGCGAAATGTCTGACAGTGAAATACAACTGACGACGCGGCTGACGCCAAAACCTTCACCATGGATTTCTATAATAGGCTAATGTTTCTTCCATGACTACGGGAAGTATTCACGATTTTGCCGTGATCATGGAAGACGACGATGACCCCTCGGTTACTCAGGAGATGCCGTGCCAAGCTAAAGTTTAGGCGGTAATACATGTGATGTTGTTAAAGATTATAGGGAGAGGGGGCCCGGCGAAAAAACTTGCAGGGAGGGGCCTACGGGTAGGATGGGAATTTTACATTTAATTTTTTTTTATTATCTCTGTAACCGTTTGGTATACAAAAACGCTTCAATATACAAAATTATTTATATTTTTCAGCTCTACAAAATGGTTTGGGAAGAAATTGTTAAATTTTGTGTTTTTAGGGTAAAAATGGGAAAAACATATTTTTATCCAATAAAACCCCCCATAAACCCAGTTCCCTTAGTCCGATCATGCTGGTTCACAAATTCGTTTGAATAAACGTAGGTTTACTTACACGTTTGTACCAAATTTCATCAAAATCGGATCTTTTTTACTGGATTTATCGCGCTAACAGACATACAGTAATTATAGTAGTAAATAAAGCACAACTGAACACCCTGAAATAATTATTATATTACTTGAGGACCCATGCTGCTGATCCAGAGGGGGGGTGAAGGGGGCGACTGCCCTCCTCAGGCATACATACATATATAAATATATTTTTACTGCATGTAATACTGTAGATTATACACATTGCGTAATATAATTGGTCACTCAAACTTTGATAAAAATGCCATTTTGGAGACTTAGTTTACACCTATTTTTGGGGGGGGGGGTACCCTCAAACCCCCCGGTTCGCTCCCCCCCTTGTGACTGTTCTAGATCCGCCACTGCTCCGCAGCATTGAAATAAATATCATATCCAAGAAATAATCAAATTTATGATTTTGATTGTGTATCTTAATAACAATATATTAATACAGTATCTTGAACTTAAATGATTCAAGCGATCAATAGAACAAATTAAAGCCTATAATTTTCTGATTATTTTGAGTTTAAAACGTATAAAAAACATAAAAAGTAAAAGTAAGTAAGTTATTTGGTTTCAGGAATGCCAGATTATCTCAAGAAACTACGGCTCGCAGCATTAGGTATGGCTAGTCGTCGAGGCGACAACCCGAGTCCCATGGCTCAGTTCGGCAGTGACAACGGAGGTTTGACTACGGAAGTGGACACAGATATATCAGTAACCAGCAATACCACATCTTGTGCCTCTACCAGGTTGATGGAGAGCCTTAGACAGACACTCTTCTTGTTTTAACTGGTACTGACCAACACATACTTTTCATAGTATCTTTGAATACGGATAAAACTTGACATTCCATCCCATGTTCAAGATGAAGCCAGTTTTGAATTACCCCTTTGAATGCCGCAGTGTCATGCCTATTTCTTATGCATAAATTGCTGAGCTTATTTCAAAGGAAAATGCAGTATTTTATATAAAATGTCATATAAAATACAATATTAGAGATATCCATGTTTTCTTTTATTTGTGCATGAATAAATTCAAATTCTCTATAAAATGGTAAGATATCAAAATATTTCAAAATAAATCGGGACCAAAAAAATATTTTGTTAAAAGAAAAATTATTATTTTATAAATTTTTTTACTTTGACTTACTAGGCTTATAACTTTTGCTAAACAATAATTTTTATTCAACACTAGCTGGCCCGACAGACGTCGTCCTGTCCTATTGTGGTTTTATGTCACATGCTCGTTCATTTTCAAGATGAGCTCGTTCGCATGGCTCAATCACGTCCTGGTTGAAGTTCGTTCGCTACGCTCACTCACCTTTAGGTTGGAGCTCGTTCGCTGCGCTCACTTGCCTTCAGGTTAGCTCGTTCGCTACGCTAACTCGCCTCCAGGTTGAAGTTCGTTCGCTACGCTCACTCACCTTTTGGTTGCAAATTAGCTGTTCTCATAATTAAAAATAAATATAGTGCTGCACCCTGTTGGTAAACCTATTAACTTTTTAATGCTATTGAACATCACAGAATCAAATTGTTTAGTTGCATCAGCTGTTAAGATTCTTTAATTCCATTTAAATATGAGTACTCATAAGGTTAACATGGGAAACTCCAGAGCCACTGGGGCGGAGCCCTATTGACGGATCTGCACCAAACTTCACACAAACCATCCTTGAATAATGCTTAATAATGCCTGAAAGTTTCATTACAATCTGTCAAGCGGTTTTGGAGTCCATAAAGGACAAACATACAAATATACAAACATACAAACATACATTGGATTTTATATATATAGATAACAGTCAGAAAGAGCAGAAAATGGAGATTAACCCATTGGCCATGTATCACAGAACTGTTCCGTGATGGCTCTATTGGGCTCAAAATTTGTATCACGGAACATTTCCGTGATGAGTACAATGCCACTTAAATTGGTATTTTCTTTTTTTATAATAATAATAACTAAAGTTTATTGTTAAAAAATACAATTAATTACATCTAATTGGCTTAGGGTAGAAAAAATTAAATTCATATTTTCTTTTTTTTTCACAAAAACATATGTTTATTTATTTATCTATTTTTTTTTTAATTATTATCTAGGGAAATGTATTTTAAATACATGTTAGGTGCAAAAAAATATATATGTTGGCTTTTTAGGCAAAAAATATTTGTTTACCTTTTGTTATACATTTATTTAAATAAAATAATTATTGTAGGCAATTTTATTTTGAGTACCTAAATAAACCTAACTTGCTATTTTGTAACTTCAAAAAGAAATGTTTTATAAAGTTATAAGAAAGCCGAAACGAGTCTTATCGCAATTTCTGTCTGTATATCTGTCCATTCTGTGACTCCGTCTGTGACGCCAAATTATCATTTTACGCGGCCTACTCCTAGAAAACTAGAGTACCAATCAAGGTTCTAATCATTTTTCTGTATTTACTGGATTGGTGAGAGTGTCTTGGGCTATAAAAACATGGCCTCTCTTCTTTGAAAACAAAATAACAAACCATCAAAAACCCAATTTAGTTTGATTTTTGTCAAATTTTCTCCCAATGTTTCCTATTACATTTTATGAAATAACGATCAGCTGTTTGGATTAGTTCTCACTTCTAGCTGGCACTGATATGTTTACATTAAAAGTTGTTTACAAATACCGCAACCATTTCCGATCAAGTTTTGTTAGCACATCCAAACCAAGTGAGATTAGAAACGTTGTGCCTTACTTAACCTGTTTAATTAATCGCAAGTGCAACGTGTTCTTGAGTTTTTATAACCGGGGAAAATACCGTGAATCACAATAGACCGTGGACAATAGACAGTAGACAAGGTCAAGCGCAGGGGTAGGGGATGTGTTGGAGGTCATTGCTCCTCAACTTTCTCTTTCCAGCGCACCAAGAACCCACCGCAGTACCTCAAAGTGACACTGTAGTGATCGGAAAATCACATTTTAATCAAAATTATTTTTTTTAGCGAATTTCCCATATAGGGAATAAGCTATTACCGTAGTACTCATGGTAAGACCTGGACCCGGGACCGATTTATTTTTTTGTTTTGAGGTCCCTATAGACCAAAAACACCATCCGTTCAAATTCATATGTATATATTTATATTTATATACTAGCTGTACCCGCGGGCTTTGCCCCGCTTAACTTCATAAGTATTCGCACGGCCCAATAACGTCCTGGTTGAAGTTCGTTCGCTACGCTTACTCGCCTCCAGGTTGATGTTTGTTCGCTACGCTCACTCACCTTTTGGTTGCAAATTAGCTGTTGTCATAAATGTACAAGAAATAATAGTGCTGCACCCTGTTGGTGCAAGAAATTAAAAAATTTAAAGAAGTCATCCCTTTTATTTTTTATAATACTTTGATAAAGGTTTTTATGTTTTAATATTTAACATTGGAGGATTTAAACGTTTTTAAGTGCAAAGGTGTGCTGCGATTGGGGTTTAATACATTTGGACTTATTCAAAAGTAAAATAGTTTTCTGTGCTGCACTCTGTAGAAACACTGTGGCACTATTTCAAATGATGACTATTGCTAATACAGAATGTTGTGATTATTCAAACCTACAAAACAGTTGGTGAAAGTAAACATCTGCTTTTGAATTATATTTATTTGTAAACATTGTAGATCAACAAGTCTGACATTGGTTCACTTAAAACCATCTGGGGCAGAGCCCTTTTGACGGATCTGCACCAAACTTTACTCGAACCATCCTTGAAAGATGCTTAATAATGCCTGAAAGTTTCATTACAATCCGTCGAGTGGTTTCGGAGTCCATAACGTATATACACACACACATACATACATACATAGTTCCTCTTTTATAGAAATAGATATATATGTGTCTGTTAGCACGATAACTCGAGCAAAAATGATCCGATTTTGAAGAAATTTGGTACTAACGTGTAAACCTACATTTATTCGAACGAGTTTGCGAACCAGCATGATCGGACTATGGGAACGGGGGTTTATGGGGGGTTTTATGGGGTAAAAATAGACTTTTCTTCCCATTTTTGACCCTAAAAACACAAAATTTTACAATTTCTTTTCACACCATTTTGTAGAGCATAAAAAAACAAATAATTTAGTATATTGAAGCGTTATTGTGCGCCTAATGGTTACGGAGAAAATTCCAAAAAACTGTAAATTTAAAATCCCTGTGTTATTCTTATGGAGAATAAGTCAACTGTTGTACTTTGCTTGTTTATGAACATAATTTGATCAAATTTGGAAAATACATTAATTTTTTACTAAACTGTTAACATAAAAAACCACCTTTTTACCCTCCCTGTTGCAGCAAACCTTAGTACTCTTTAAACTAATTCTATTTAAATAGGGAATAAATATTATATTTTTAAGGAGGCATTTTAGTGTAAATCCTATCAGGCTAATGGAAATTCTCTTAGTCTGCAGGTTTGCTGCGGCGGGGGTATTTTTTGGTACCGATCGATCAGGATAATGCATAGATCCGGTTGAATGAGGTATGGAAAAACGAGGTACAGTAGAACCTTGATTATCTGGGGTAATGGGAGACCAGGGATAACTGAAAACCACGGTTAATCCAAAACACCATAAACATGTATTGCAAACCCATAAAAACGCCTAATACTATATAAGTGGAAATTAATGTGATGAATAATTTTCATTTTACATCATCAAAATGCAATTAGTATTGTGCAATCGTGATGTGTTAAGTTGTTAACCTTGGTTCAGTAATAAAAACTATAAGACATAAGATATGTTTATTTCCAGTAGACATATTACAAATTTATTGGAAGAGTCAAACATTTTTCTTGCAGAGAAGTTGTCAAATTGAGAAGTGTGTTACAAAGTGTACTTTGAAGTCTACAAAATAAAAAAAATTGCATTTTAAGTTAATAAATAGGTCTAAAACTAATATCACAGAGTCTATCACTATCGAAAAGTAAAAAACAACCATTTGAGATTAGCAAAACGTAACAAAATTAGACAGATTGAACTACAAGGCATTAGGTGAAAGAACAATAGTTAGACAATGACAACTAAAAACATAACTTTGACGAAGGAAGGTCTAAAAAGTCTTTGAGTTCGTAAAAATAAGGATTAACAGCTAGCCATTGGAACAATTTCTGTTTAAAATAATTATATGGGAGAGAAAACATAAATGTAGGAATCTTATTAATACATTTCATGCCCAGTATTTCATAGCTTTTCTTGGATTTCTCCAGTCTAACATAGGGAATGTCAAGTTTATGTCTGAAACGGGTATTGTTCTGGACATCTTTACGGCAGTTAAAAACATTTAAATTTTTAAAACTAATTAAAAATAAATTTAAAATATACAAGTTAACAACAGTGAGAATTTTAAAATCAATAAAAATTTGTTTTTGTTGTTCAACACCATCAACTTTGGTCATTTTTCTTAAAATCTTTTTCTAAATTACAAGAACCTTTTTTACATGTGGGCTATTTCCCAAAAAATTATTCCATAGCTAAAAAAAAATATAATGCTGATTGGAAGAGGCCATATTAAACATTTATCAGACAATCTATCGGTATTACATAGCTTAATTTTCTAAAAAGGAACTTTTAATCGACTCAGCCTAGTACAAAGTTGGTTTATCCAATGTAACACCAAGAAATTTTACATGACTCCATGGTACTCAATGTTAGACACCATGGTATCTGGAAGTTCCCTAAGACTAAAAACTAGGTCCAAGGTTTTGTCCTTATTTAAAAGAAAGATGTTGGCAGCAAACCATTCTGTGGCCCTATCGATTCCATGAACAACAGAATTTTTGAGGTTAGATATG